CCAACGGGGCTCTCCCCGCGAGCCCGGACACCCGTGGCTACAGCCCCAGGCTACTCACATTTCGGCCGATCCACTTGTTGACGGGCTTCATGAGGAAGGAGGAGAGGAAGCCGCTGATGTACATCACCAGGGGGATGGTGGCGATGAATTTCTGGGGGGCAGTGAGGCAGAGCGGAGAGTGAGGCTCACAGGCCACCCAAGAGCCCCCGCCCCATACACAGGGGATCCCCACTCGTAGCCCCCGCCTACTCCCCAGCTGTGCAGGGACCGCCTCCCTGGGCTTCACAGGTCACCCTGGTGGAGGCAGGGCCCAGTGCGGGGTGGCCCCGGCAGCTCTGGGCGGGACCCTCACCTTGGGCAGCAGCAGCGAGTTGGTGAGGTACATGGCGATGTAGGTCTGCGACAGGTTGACAATCAGCCGCGTGGCCATGTACAGCATCGCCACCTGGGGGAGACGCGACCCGGTTACGCCTGCCACGCCCTGCCCTGCCCAGCTCGCAGGGAGCGACGGGGACCCCGGCCCTGCTCTCTGCCCACCCGGGGCACCCAGCCCATGGCAGTGGCAGGGCACAGAGGGGGCAGCGCAGGCTGGCACTGCACAAAGCAGCGGGGGTGGGCTCTCTACTCCGCCCCTCCCTGTACAATGAGCCCTTTGAACCCAGAGCCATTAGCTGCCTTGCTGGGGTGCCCCGAGGCCTAGCCAGCTGGGTGCAGCGATGCGTAGCCAGGTCTGCACCGCCTGCATGGGGTGTCTCCCTCCTCCTGGGTCACCCGTGCTGCTGTCCCCCCCACCCCCGGGCCCCACTAGTCAGTGCACTCCAGCCTTGATCTGAGGGGCGCTGCCAAGCCCCCCAAAGCTCCGCCCCCAGCAACATGCCCAGTGAGCCACACGGCTGTGCCAAGCCCAGAGCACACTCCCTGGCAGGCCCCGGGGCAGCACATGGCTCCCCCACGGGACACTCAGCCAGCACCGGGGCGGAGCCGCAGGGACCAGGCAGAGCCTGGAGCTCCGAAGGCGGTC